ACATACCCCACCTATCTGGGCGACTCATCCACTCTAGGCATCCACTGATACAGCATTACAATGCCAGATTGCTAAACTAACTTGATCTTAACTTGTTTCAGTGGCCATGAGTGATGAAGAGGACGGAGGCATACTCTTCGATAATGTTGCTAAATCTAACGTTGATCCCTTCGACACATCTTCTGGATCTGTACAATTGATTGCCATAAAGCCTGTAGCTTTGCCTTCTGCACACCCAACCTCAGACAGGAGTCAGGAAACTGCTGTTCTTAATGGGGAGGTAAGAATATATTCCATAATCCATGTTGTGTGATCATCTGTGCATTACTTAGAACAAGCTTCTAGGTGACGAGAATGTGAGGCACCTGGCTGAGCACAGAAGCGGACAAGCTTCAGCTGTAAATGCTAAAAGCTCTGTCCTCATGCTCTGTGGAGGCAGGAGAGGGAGACACACACACCCATGCCAATTTATTTTCTTCTATTGTTTCTGAATATGTGTAAAAGAAATGTAGAATGGAGAAAATGAACTTTTCTTGAAGAGAATCTCCTCAAGAGTACTTTTTTTTCTCCCACCCCCACCCCTATGCAAAGATCACCCATTGTAATAACATTTCTACTAAAGGGAGGCTATAGCCACAAGGTGTTCCCTTAATCAGATGATGTCCATTCAAACAACAGTTTAAACACAGGGATTTGAAGGAAGGGGCTGTTTTATCTACTGGCTAAATTTCAGTTTGGGAAGACCCCTGGTGTTGTATTGTAGCAGAGGGTGGTGGCCAAAGATACAGACTGGACAGAGGCAAAGTGAAATGGATAGGGCCAAATGCAATTCTTATTAATTTCAACACTTTTCTAACTGAACTAAGCAATGACAGATCCTGTGAGATGCACAGGTGCATGAAATATCTCCTAGTGTTGTTACAAATTGCATAGCTTGGTGCTTTTCAAGGTTGCATACAAGTTAAATTTTCTTCAGTATGTTTGTTTGGAAATAAAAGCTTGAGAACGTGTATCTGGATGGGGAAACTATAAGATTCTTCTCCCTACGTAGGTTGAAGTAAAAAACCCAGTTCTCTAAAAAACCAAGTATGCTTCTGGCTTCCTGAATACTGCACAATTATACCTTCCAATGGATTAGTCTGGATATTCATCAAGTTGTCTCTCAGGCATTTACCTCAAAAACTTCAGAGAGAATTTAGTTGTGCTTATACAAGCAATTCCACTTAATGCAAGGATGACCCCCCTGTTATTCTTCTCTTACATCTGAAGCAATGGTGGACTATATTAGGGCAAGCAACTGAAACTGAATCCTGTTAAGACACAGGGTGCAACTACACTGACAAACTGAATTAGAGTGATTTTACTTTCCTGTGTTTTGATTAGCATTCAGTTTAGGTGATCAATTCGGTTTAGGTGATCGCATGAAGACCATGGATTGTTTTGGTGCCAGTGTCCACAGTGGCCCTCAGTATGATGCAATATGATGCAGTTTCATGCATGCTGACAGACTGTGGCTCCCATTCTTTTGATACTACCCACCTGATAATCCTTGGCTCACCTTTCTTATCTTTCAGTGTACAGTGCTTTTACCAGTATATTTAGAGATACTGCTTTCTTCTTGCTTACTGGTGTACTTTTTTAAATTTCTCTGTTACTGGGAGGAGGGAAGGCACTTAGATCTCCAATTTGCATAAGCCCTACTAAGCTCTGGATAGTAGAGTGAGTGTAAGGAACAATCCATGCAAGGCTAGCTTCCATCCTATTCAACAAATTAGGAAAAATGTGCAGCTTGTGGTTTCCTATTATGAAGAACTAGTGTTGCATTGTGATCTTATATGACTTCATGTCTATGACATTATGTTTCAGAACTGAGTAAACTGCTAACATGATTTGAAAAAGCGAGCTGAGAATTGAATGTAAGAGTTCTGTCCAATTTCCTTGTTGCTTTAGTGTAGATTTTGTTAGAAACTTCTGATGTACCTGAGTCATCCATCCAGCAAGATCCAGATAAAGGAGAAAAGGGAATTACACAAGCTCAATCCATCCAGCAAGACATTTCTATTAATGTCCCACTTCTATTAATGACAGATATTGCTAATGGTTACGATTAGCAATATCTGTCAAGTTTACTATCAAAGGAATTTAAATATAAAATAATACCTGAAGCATCTCAATCTGTTTCTTCAGTTCCTAAAAGCACTATGTTTAAAAATCAAAAAACAGTTGGCTAAACGTCCCATCAATGTATATCTTTCAGAATTAAGTCTGTGCCAATGTTTATTTATTTCTAGGGATTAATTACCTGGAAAAATTGATTATATAATTTGATTAATTTGCACCTCTTAACATTTATTTACTTCTTGTTCATTGTCAGATTAATAAAGCATTGAAACAGAAGTCTGATATTGAGCACTATCGCAACAAGTTGCGTCTGAAAGCCAAGAGGAAAGGCTACTATGATTTTCCCCCAGTTGATAACAATAAGGGCTTGGCAGACAGAAAGAAGATTTATGAAAAAGCACAAAATGAAATAGATCATATTTTGGATCCTGATACTGATGGATCCTCTCCATTCATAGAGCCCAAAAACAGGTGAGTGTTTCTGTGTGGCTTGATGCAACAAATCTTTTTTCTCTTGGAAAACTGACAGTCAGGGAGGACAAATGCTCTACGGGTGTCATATAGTGGAGCAGAAATGTGAAGAGGCAAGTTTATTTAGAAATGAAAAATATTTTCAACATATGTCATCTTTACCCTATTGCCTGAGTTCTCATTTCTTCAGGATGGTTGATGCTTGTTTCATGGGGGTGTAAAATGGTTACATGAGGATGATTTAAAAAAAACAGTCAACAACAAATGTGGTGGAAAGACCTTCTCAATTTTTTTTCTCTCTCTCTAATAGATAACAATACAAAAAAGTTAATGCAGCTTAAAAAAAAAATTAGTGTTCACTGACCTTATTATATTGGTCTATGTAGAGAGGCATGTGGTGCTCTGTTGAAAACAGTGGCAAGGTAAATGATATTTTATGTGGTTCACTTCAATATTATGAATAAGTACACTGTAGGGAATTACATACCTGATGGCTTTTGATTGTGATTTCTTTGGGGATTTTTCTTTCCTATCTCTTGAAGTTATTACATCTGTCCCAAAAATAAAACGAGACATCTGAGTGGCTTTGAAACGGGATAAAATTACTGTATAGACTTGTTCACTTAGGAAACATATTGTCTAGATTCTAGACTAAATTACAGCATATCTGATATATGTCATACACCTTTCACATCAATCTGTGTTTGAACCTCCTTAAATACTAATAGAGCTGCACCTAGTACCTCTTCTACAGCAGTACCTTAATAATAATATAAAGATATCTACCTCTTTGTTGTTGCCGTTATGTGCCATCAAATCGTAACTGACTTACTGCAACCTTAATAGAGCTTTCAAGATAAGTGAGGTATTTAAAGATTGGTTCTACCAGTTCCACTTCCCAATTGAGTTCCCATGGTTGAGCAGGGCTTTGAACTTTGGCCTTCAGAGTCCTAGTCTGTCACTCTACCCATTACACCATACAGTGGACCCTTGACTTACAGACGGCTTGACTTACAGACTTTTTGAGTTACAGACTTCTCTGGCCGCAAAATTTAGGTTTGACTTGCAGACTGAGATTCGACTTACAGACCAGATAAAAACCAAAATGGAACAAAAACGGCCTGTTACGGGATTAATCCGTTTTCAATGCACTGTAGGTCAATGGAGACTTGACTTAAAGACTTTTTGACTTGAGAACCGCTTTCCAATATGGATTAAGTTCTCAAGTCAAGACCCCACTGTACTTGGTATCTTAGTAGTCCAGGAACAATGTCTTAAAATTGTCAAGCCTGTTTGTGCTGGGAGATATTATTTTATATGATTTAGGAATCACGTTCCTTTCCAATTCTAAGATGGATGATCAGTGTGGGTTATTCACAAATACATTATTGGAAAGGAACTGAAAATATTTATGCATTTGTGGAAAAATTATGCTTCACCTCTTTGTTCCTTCTGTGGACTGAACAGTGTCAATTTTTTTTTTGCACCCAACTTAACAAGATGTATTTGAGAGAGAATACTGAGATTTTGTAGAAGAAGCATTATCTGAACCCTGTGAGGTTAATGCATATCAAAGTTAATTATTTGAAAGGTTCAGACGATTGGACATTAATGTGACATTCTCTTGGCTGTTGTCCTCTACATGGAATATAACTACTGTATTAGATCACATTATTAGCATCTGAAACTCACAGGCATTCCTATATAGGAATTTTTTTTTGGTTATTTTTAGGACATAAATGGTTCTCAGGTCTCCATCAGAGAGCACTGTAATCGTGCTGAAATTGGTACAAAGTGCTTCTTGATATTTTGCAGCATGGATTTACATGAGTGCCAGTGTCAATGGTCTGTTCATTATATCATCTGTTTCCAGTGGGAATGGAAAAAGAAAATGATTGCAGTAAGCAAAGATAATCCTGTTGAAGGTGATATCATGTATTTCTTTTCTGTTGCTCATTTTTATACCACAAATAACACAACATAAAACTACTCTTATCACCAGCATTAGTTGTAAAAGAGACTCCAGGTGCTTGCAGACAGAGTCTATCCAGAATCACAGTGTGGTATTTCCCCTCAGATAGTTACAGGAGAAATGTAGGGAACAACAACAACCACTCTTTATGGCCTTCATAGATCTTACAAAAGCCTTTGATTTGGTTAGCAGGGATGGCTTTTTTAAAATACTTCCCAAGATTGGATGTCCACCTCGACTCCTTAACATCATCAGGTCCTTTCTTGAGGAAATGAAGGGCACTGTAGTTTTTGATAGGTCAACAACAGATCCCTTTGACATCTGAAGCAGAGTAAAACAGGGCTGTGTCTTCGCACAGACCCTGTTTGGGATCTTTTTTGCTGTCATGTTGAAGCACGCCTTTGGAGCTGCAACAGAAGGTGTCTATCTCCAAACTAGATCAGATGGAAAGATCTTTAATCTCTCTAGATTGAGAGCGAGGACCAAGGTCCAACTGAAGTGCATGCGGGACTGCCTCTTTGCTGATGATGCAGCCATTGTTGCCCCCTCTGCTGAGGACCTCCAACAACACATGAATCGTTTTAACAAGGCCTGCCAAGACTTTGGATTAACAATCAGCCTGAAGAAAATACAAAACATGGGCCAGGGGACTTTGGCACGTTCCTCTATTACCATCTCTACACAAGAATTGGAGGTTGTTCGTGACTCTGTGTACCTTGGCTCAACGATCTCTGACACTCTCTGTCTAGATGTCGAGCTGGATAAACGCATTGGCAAAGCAGCCACCATGTTCTCTAGGCTCACAAAGAGAGTATGGCTTAATAAGGGCATATACCAAGATCCAGGTCTGTACAGCCTGTGTCCTGAGCACACTGCTGCACTGCAGTGAGTCCTGGACCCTTTGTGCACGGCAGGAGAGGAAGCTGAACACCTTCCATATGCGTTGTTTCCAATGCATTTTTGGTATCATCTGGCAGGACAAAGTTCCAAACAGAGTAGTCCTAGAATGAGCTGGAATTTTCTTCAGTGTGGAAGGGATTGTCACTCTCAAATTGGCCTCCTCAGCTACACTAGACGCTGTTCCAGGGCTTCCATACAGAGCACGTTACCATTGTCTCTCAAGACTGAAGGATGCTTAATACTACTAGTTGTAAAATAACAGCATTCTAATCTTTGGTGGCTTAATTTTCTTGGAGAATATTAATTATGGCAATACAGTAGTAAAAGAATGTGTTTTAAAATAACAGTAGAGTTAAGAAAGTTTCTCCTGGTGAGTGTGTGAGAGAGATACATATTTTTTAACAAACTGAATGAAATTCTTAACCTACGGCATTGTAGAAGAACAAAAAGAAAACAAAGAGAGCATCAAGAAGGAGGGGTTATCTGGCTTGAAACACGGCACTGTTAATGTGCATTTTAGCACATTATTTTCTCCTGATCATGATTCTCTTTATAAAGAAATAGAACTTTATTTGCATTAACTTCTGCCCTCTTGTGGTGCTTGTCACATGGAATTCTGTTCAGCTTTGATAAGGAAGCTTGAGGAAATCAGCTGAGAATTTACAACAGTTGACGATGCAGTTGTACAGTGTCTGCCCAGTGTCCCTTACATTCACTGGGACTTAACTGTTGTAAATGTAGGATTTTAGCCTCAACTAAGTATAATTCCAGAGGTTTTTAAAAATCCATGCTGAGAATTCTCAATAAAGATCTGTATAAATATAACAGGAACGACATACATTGTTCTAGCAGTTGTTTTAATCGAGAGGAGAGCATATATCAACTGCATGAATCAATAGAATTGATTTGATTAAATTTTAGAGGAATACAGTTGGAAAGAGATGCAAGAGAGATACAAAGCAGGGTTCTCTGGAAAAATCAATAATGCTGGGAAAAGCGGAAGGCAGTAGGAAAAGAGGAAGGCTAAATACAGGATGGATTGACTCCCTAAAGCAAGCCATAGACTTGAGTCTACAAGAGTTGAGCAGTACAGTTGAGGACAGGACATTTTGAAAATCACTTATTCATAGGGCTGCCATAAGTCAGAAGTGACATGATAACCACAAGAGAGATATAATTCCATACAACTAGAAGTATGAATCAAGGTAAACTGGAAACTGTAAAGCAAGAAATGGAATGTATGAACATGGCAGTGGTTGGTGTCAGTGAGTTCTGGTGGACTAGAACGAGATATTTTCAGTCAAACAACTACAAAGTGTTCTACTCTGGAAATGAAAAATCCAGAAGAAATGGAGCAACTTTAATACTGAGACAAAATGTATGGCATACAATTAGGGGATATAATGCAACATCTGACTGAATAATGTCTATGCTTCAGTTACTAATACTGAAGAAGAAATTGAAAGTTTTTATGCAACTGTCCAAGAGGAAATTAATCACACAGATAAACGATATATGCTTATAATAATGGTTGACTGGAATGCAAAAGTAGGGGACAAAGCAGAACCAAATGTTGTTGGAAAATTTGGCCTAGGGGACAGAAATGAAGCAGGAGAATGACTCATAGAGTTCTTTGAAGCCAGCCATCTGTTTATTGTAAGTACATGCTTCAGACAACCCAACAGGCAGCTGTATGTGCAGCATTACCTGATAATCAACATAGAAACCAAATAGATTATGTAATTGGAAGCAGTAGATGGGAAGCTGCTTTTTCTCATCCAAAATAAAACCAGGAGCAGATTGTGGTGCTGATCAAGAACTGTTAATATCCAAGATTAGAGTAAAGCTGAAAAAGAACACTACGAATCATAATGCCAAAATATAATCTAAACAACATTCCTGATTAATTAAACTCCATATAAAGAACAGATTTATGGACTGACTCCCTAAAGGAAGCCACAGGCAGTACTAAACTCAATTGACCATGAACCAGAAGAACTATGGAGTGAAACCAGAGATATTGTCAAAGAAGAAAGAAAAAAAAAGAGACAATTCCTGTAGTAAGAAGAAAAGAAAAACCTAGATGAATGATGGAAAAAAAACTTAAAATTGCAAAGGATAGGTGAGA